CCGTCGAATCGCGAACACGAAAAAAGAAGCAGAATCTGTTGGGTGTGTCGAAGCGTGTCGAGTGCCGTGGCAAAAAACGGTCCTCAGAAAATCGATCGACACGCGCTTTCCGTGTTCTTTAATTGGCTCTAGAATATTTAAGGAGAATTCGTCGAGGGGTTAGGTGAAAATGAATTTTTATAACTGTCGTAAAGTAGCGACTTTATCCGTGGCGCGTGACGCGCAATCGACAAGTCGGTGATACGAAAAAACGTCGGAGTAATGTCGCGTTTCGGAAACGATACTTTTCGCGCTATCTTTACAAGGGATCGCGAAGGTCTTGCGCGTATTTTTAGGACGTCGGTAATTACGGGTATAATTTTACCGGTCATTAAGGCACGCACCTGCCGATAATCTAAACAATCTCGTCCTACGGTCAGATCTGATAAGGAGACATTACTGTTGTAACTCGCGTAGTACGGTTTCATTGTGCCTAGCCTGGACGGGTTGACGGCGGGGCATGAAGTGTGTGCAATGCCCGACTGCAGACCGGCCTGAGAGAGACACGTTCGAGCAACGTGGTTAACTCCTCGTCGACTTACCGTCGTATTTCATTAAGCCAGATATCGTAATTTATCACTTGGTCGCGCGACAACCAAAGTTGCGCTCGGTGTTGTGGTAAAGCTAACAAAGAGGTGGAATTTTCGAACGTGACGGAACCTGAAAAACCGTTCCCTTTTGTTTTGTCCGCTTTGTTTTTCATTTTCACCGTCGATTCGCTTAGCGTTAATTACCGGAACTTTTAATTAACCTTCTCCTCGCTAACACGTATCCCCCTCTCTCCACGGTGATTCTTTTCTTCTCCTTTTACCGATGTCGATGCGTTCTCAGCGAGCGAAGAACAAGTTAACGAGGTGAACACTCTACGTTTGATATTTACTCGGGTCCCGCCTTGGGTCTCGTTTTATTGAGTCATATATCAAAAGTGGCCGGCTGAAAAAGCCGAGAGAGAGGGAAAGTCGCGGTGCCCTTCGGACCGATTGACGGAATTGTACAGTCTGTCGAATGAGAGTGCTTTTACGCGGAGAGAAATTGGAGAGTCGGAGTGCAACGAACTAACGGAGCGAATGGTGAAGGTTAAATTGAATTCGGGGTTTAATTGGCGTTAGCCTGCGGACACGCGGTGTTGCGGCGGGAACGGAAGGTAGAGGTGGTACCTGCTATGTATGTACTAACATACGTATGCGTACGAACGTCGGTGGATAGATTGAAACGTCGGGGAGGCAGGGTCGAAGGCGAAAGAGAATACCGTTCCTCCGTCTGTAAGGTGGAGGAGAGGCATGAGCGTGGGTTTCCTGCAGCCGTGGCCCACATTCCAATAAATAACGAAACAAAGGAGCTGGAAATCCACCCCTCCCATCTGCCGTTTCGGCCCGCCGCCGCCGCCGCCGCCATATTTACATCCGATAACGAGCCGCCGGTAGATATTTACATTTTTAATAGCATAAACCTACAGACCTGACGGCCCGTTCCAATAATATTTCCCTTCCTCCCCGTCCCATCCCGCCCTTGCCATCAACGACCCCACCGTGGACGCCATTTATTAGCCCTAATTGATCGAAAGGGGTACGCGAACCTTTCTTTCCTCCTCCCCTTCCTTTCTCTCTCCCTCCCTCTGTTCGCGTCGAACCTCGCATCTGGGGCTGTTTACGCGCTCCTCCGAGAAATCGCACCCTCGTCTATCTCGGACGGCACATGACGCCGGTATTTGGCCAACGATTAGCCCCATCCACTTAACACAGGTGATCGGTATAAAAACGAAGAAAACTGCGGCTTCGAGCCGGGCTCGTTCGTTCCCATCGCCTCTTTCTCCCTTTCTCCCTTCCTCCCGGAGGATCCTCCGTCACGCTGGAAAAGTCGGTAATTCAGGGGTGAAAGGTAGGGCGAAGTGAGGGAGAGCGGAGTGAAAGATGGAGGCGTCGAATCGAGGCTGAGCAGTGGGAGTAGTTAATTGGATGGAGTGTTTGAGCTCGCAATTAGCGATTAGCAATTACCCGGTATCGAAATGGACGGTGGAGTAGGGGCAGGGTGCGGGTTAGGCTGTCTCGGGCCGACGGAGCGATTAATGAGCCAATCGGCTAATAACGCGTCACGCAAGAATACGCGGTAACCGTTTCGCTTCGCGACGCGCTCGTTCGATATTGTTGCCGTTATTAGGCAGACCTAGGAGGTAGGAATAGCGGCCGGCCGGTTGCCACATCCTCACTCCCACGAGGATCGTGGCTCGTTACCCGGTTACACCGCTCTTATTACACCGGCGAAACGGTTTCGCGAGCTATTGAAACGAGCCGCGGAAAGATCGATAAGCCTCTCCGCTCTTTTTTCTCTTCTTCCACCTCGTTCTATTTTACAATCGAGCATTAGCCGAGTAATGCGCTTTAATGGGCTCAGCGCGGAGAATGGATGGACGTCCGCGTCCATGTTCGCGCGTGAACTCGTTCGGTTAATCCGTTCGCGGGGCTAGCATCCACGGAGAATAAATGGCGTCGTTCCGAGGGAAAACGATTCTTCGTCCCGTCTTTCTAGTTTCGTTCGTGCGCTACCACTTGGAGCGGAAAACGGTGTGGGGGGTAGGGGAGATGTACTTGGATCTTAGCGATGCTGTTCGGGAACATGGACGAATTTGTGGGAAAAGGATAGGTAACTGGCCCGGGTGAAGTATGCCCGAGGAGGGCTCGATAAAGCTCTGCTAATTGGTGGCGAGGACGAGTGGTGAGCGCCTACGCTAGCATCGGTTCGCGACTCCCGTAATTCCGGCTAATTTATTTGATTGCACCGGCATGCCCGTCTCTGCTCGCCGTAATAAGACTTGCCCTCGCCCCTTTTACGCTCTTTCTCCTCCTACTCCTTCTTCTCTCGAATCTCGGCCCCCTGCGGGTATTCCATAGGGAGGGAGTGACAGGGGCAAGGGGAAATTGGTCAGCTCGTCTCCGCCTTCGCCCTCCAATTCCGCCGGAAAAGTATTACAACGGTTAAGAAGAGAGCGAGGGGACATTTGAAAGTTTCACTTATTGTTAGTGTGCTGCGACTAGGACGAGGAAGGCGGAGGTTGGAGGTTCCCTCCGTTTAACCGGCCCTAACGAGGCTGCGAGGAGAGGTCCGCGCGTTTCACACGCACGCACGCACGCGATCCACCGTGTGTGGGGCTTAGACACAGTGTAAGGACTCTTAATAACAATGTCGTTTATGGTTAGTACATGGGCGGAGGTTAGTTAGCGAGGATCGTGAACGTTGGGCGGCGACGAGGGGCAAGAGGACGCTAATAAAACACAATTAGCGGCTCTACCGGCCCGACCAATCACCGGGTTCCGCGCTCTATCGTGTATACGCACGCGTAAAACTCCGACTCTGGTTATTTATGGGCTTCGAGGCGGCGCATTATTGAGAGGAGGGCATTCCTTCTTTTTCGCAATCAGCTATGCTCGTTGTGTTACGAGCAGTCGCTCGCCCTGGAACCCCTTGGACGCGACGTTCAACCCTCGCGGATCGCCGCGCCGCCATTTCGTTTTCTCGAGGGTGGTCGTCGAATTCGAACCCTCGGAAACCAATCGACCGAAGCGTGTCCTCATTGGCCAGACTCGCCGTTTGCCATCGAGACAAAGTAAAAATCAGTCACGCGAGTGGATTCTCCTCGAGTCACGGAGGTGACGCGTCCTGTCGGAAACGGAGGAACTAACGAAACAAACGATAACGTTACGGTACGCCGTTCGAGCGATTATCGGGCAGGTAGTTTGTTAGTAAAATTAGCCGTTGGATCGGTTGTATAAACAGACGGAGAATAGTTTTCGTTGTTTGCAAGCAAGGACAGAGAGTTTCGATATTAAATGTAACAGCAGGTATGTAAATGGAGGAGAGGTAGACGGGAGGCGACACCGTGGTCAGTGACGAGCCAGCGTACGTAATTTGTTAATCGGCGCGCTATCTTGTTAATTACCCGATAACGAGGCGATACGGTGTGCCCGCGAAATGAGATTCCGTTATCGCGCGAGCTCGTTTCGGTTTATCGCCAAAGGCTAAATGGTAATTTGCTATTTATTTTCCAAGAGAGGAAAGTCGAGTAATGCGAGTTATCGCGGTCGCCGGCTATTTTGCATATCGACCAACTAGAACACCGTTCACCGGGCCCCGGCTAGAGTCGCGTCGGACACGTTTACGCGCCGCTTCCACGATCGACGCACGATTTTCCCGCTCCCCTCCCCCTTCTCGGGGCTATGTAAGTACTTGGTTAGATAAGCCGTCGAAATGTTTGTGCCGCGGCATGACGCGACGCGAGGAGCGTGAACCGATCGGGGGAGATCCGATCGAGCAAAGAAAGCCAGCTCGTTTCGTGTAACGTTTAATTGGAGCGGTCGGAAACGTGTATTAATTTACCTTCGATACGTGTCGGCAATAACGACATTGATACACTTTTTGCCGGGCCCAGAGGGGCAGGGAGCTAATTTCAACTTAATCGTCGTCTTATCGTAATTTACCGAGTATAAGTGAGCCTTAATTGACTCGATTGCTCTACAAGGACTGGTTGTTCCCGGTGAAGCACCGAGCACAAAAGGTGCTCCCCTTCCCGAGAGGCAAAAAAGTTGGCTGAAACGAGCGTTTCTCGGCCGTGGAATGTCGAATGGGGTCTCTCTCGCGGTTCCTAGAATCCCTCTCGTCTCTCCCGATGATCCCCGGCCACGCGGGGATCGATCGAATCCTCGAGAAAGTTCTCGCTTGGATGTTCGATCGTCTGAGAGTGGACGCGACTTGACGCGACTTGACGCGACGCGACGCGACGCGACGCGACGGTACCGGCGTTCGTCCCTTGAATGAGCCGTGTTTACACGGAACCAATCTCGAATGAACTTGCGGTCGAACCGTTCTGTTGTGACGAGTCGCTTCTCTTCTCGGTATAGAATTAATCCAACCGAAGGTATTAGGGTACTAATTGAAGAATTCGGAGAAAGAAGAGACAACTAACTCACTTTGCGAGTTTTCCGTGTCTTCGGCCACCGGAAATTCGGCTTCCTCGACGTCGACCAGACTCCGGATACTGAACACGCTCTTGGCGACTCTGGTCTTCTGGATGTCCGCAACACCCTCTGCCGCTCTTCTCGGGGTTGTGCTGAGATCCATCGCAGTCCAGCACGATGACGTTCCGCTCGTTTCGGTAGGGAGGGCTCTATCACAGCAGTACGCACCGTAATCGCACCGTTCTCTTGCTCGTCCTCATCCTCTACCAGCACCGCGTACCTCTCTTATTAACCGTGAATGAATAGAACCGCGCCGTATCGAGAGTTTTCTTGCTCGTTTCCGTACCGCTGGAAAACTCGTCGTCGTCGTTCCGGCCCGAGCCAAAGTTCCAGTTGCATTTGACGTGTCCGCATACGTGCCCCTACGTACGTGTGTTAGTTAGTTAGTTCTCCAAGCGAACGTCCTCCCTTCTAATCGGCGACAGCTTTTTGTTTCTTAATCACGGTGCTCGATCTCGTTGCCGAGCGATACGAGTCGCGCGCGCTCTTCGTTATCGCTCGTTCTTTCAATGAAACGTCCAAACGGTTATCGCGAAACGTTACACCGGAAATTTCATACTTATCCCTCGCTATTGCCGCCGATCTCACTTGCTCTCGTTCTATCGAATCCTCGATCTCCCAAATGTCCCACGATCCTCACGGTCAATCGACGAATGTGTAACTTGCCGAAGGCGACGATACGCGCGCGTGATCAGCTCGATCCTTATCAGCGACGCGTATCATTGCAAACTGAAGGAATCGGTGCCAGGGATCTAGGTGATATTCTACCAAAGTGTACGTGTTGTAGATCGTACACGAGGTTTGTATACGAACGCGCGCGTGATTCGCGGAAATATCAATGAACCTGTGTTGGAGCCAGGGCTCTCGCAACGACCTTTCCTGTTTTCTGTTTACCGCTCGCCCGGCCTTTTGTTCCGCACAGGCGATCTAGCGGCGTTGCTCTGATCCCGTAAACGGTCCGTATCGGCACCTCGATCATTGAGCATCCTTTGTCCTTGTCCGATCACTCCACTCCACAAGCCCGTCGCCGTTTCACTTTTCACATCGGCTGGATGCCGCATCGATGTCACCGATGCCACCGATGCCACCGATGATCGACCGGTTTCCGAAGAAGGAGGACCGTGGGGAAGAGAGGCGAGAGAGCGCGGCGATTTCACGCGACGAGAAGCAGCGAGCACACGCGTATCGCGAACTCCTGTTCGGCAATGTTCGCGTTCGAGTTCCCTCCACCTCGAGGAGGTCGATCGTGTCCCTGCCGGCGGTACCACCTGGTAGAGGGGAAGCTGGAACGTCGAGACCGCCCTCCTCCTACAAAATGGAGTTTTCTCGAGCTTTCAACTCCGCCTACCGTGGTCCACCCACGTCGTTTCACGCGAGGGGGCTTGCCTCCTTCGGCGCTCTTCCTACACGTACGTAATTCGAGACCGGGTATCTGCTCCAACTTTTCAAGCGGAAACCGGTCCGAATCGTGTTTTAATCGCGGTGCTTGGAACCTCCAGGAGGAAAGGAACGAGAGGAAGGTTCTGCCGCGAACAAATTAGAGACAGTCAGCTGATTTCTTTTCTTTCCGATTTATTTTATACACTGTATCCGTTAATTTTTAAATATATTACGTGCGGTGTATTTAGATATCGATCGAGCGGACCGGCGTTTGAAACGTGTCGATCGACTCGATTGAGAACGTACGCTGTGTAACTTGGTTGGGCAGTGAAAATTTGCGAAAGAAAGAGAAACTGGGACGTAATACTGTTTGTTTCGTAGCGTCGAGTCGACAGAGACACGTTCCGCAACGTTCTGTCGGTCGCTTCGCTTCATCCTCGATACAATTCCGCAGCGACGCGTCGCTTCACAAATTTGCATACACCTAGAAACGAAAAGAAGTGCTGGTCGGACGAGAACTGAACGTCGAAAAGCGGGAGAGAAGATTATACGTCGACGCAGCTGCGGTCGAACGTACGAGGTTTCGAGCTGCTCTCCGTGTCCTTTCTTCCTCGAGATTACATTCGTTAAAACAGCGGCGGCGCTTTTGCACACCTGGAAAGATTCGTCCTCGATGAGAAAATTCAGAGTGAGAGAGATAGAGAGAGATAGAGAGAGAAAATTAATTAACGTATATCTTTGGCACAATAAATACGAATACACGGTATACAATGTTGAACGATCGGTATCTCGACGCGCGGTGAGATCGTTAACGATCGCGCGAGATTAGAGATCACCGCACCGCCGAGACGTATTATAATCGCTCCACTCCTCACCGATCGCGACACATGAGATCCTTCGTGTTCCTTCTTACCGCGAACCACTCTCGTTTCAACGAAAGAAAAACATGGAGAAAAGAAAGAATTTCGAAACGAAATTTACGACGATACAGAATATTACAGCTAACGATATTACACTTAGCACCTAACGGGGTTGTCGTTTCGGGAATTGGGTATTACCAAATCGTAGCGATACTCGGGATCGCTATTTCGAGGATAAACACAGCTCGATACCGAGAATACGCGACGATATTCAAAGAAACAACACGTGAGAACACCTAGGCCTTCTTAATGTTACATACGTAAACGTATTTAAACGATTCTTCGATATATCGACGATCCGGCTGGGATCGCCGCCGACGGTCGAGATCAGACCTCGTTATCGATCGTCGGTGCCATTGAAAACTAACTAACTAACTAACTTACCATTCGCTCGATGCAGAAACCTACCTCACCTGCTGTCGATCGCGCGTATGAATCGTTTCGAGACTAAAAAGTACTGTTTTTTTCTTTTTCTTTTTTGCGGAGGTGAATTAAATCGTTGATGTATCGCGGAACAAACGAACCAAGTATTTCACTCGTTTATTTATTTATCCATGTATTTATTATTATAAACGGGAGTATCCTCTCCCTCCAAGTTGATCGAAAAGAAGAAGGAACGCGAAGATAGACGTGGTGTTGCGTGATAAATCTAAGAAAAACTATACTCCCGTTTATAACGATAAGTAGATAGATAAACGAATAAATAAATCTCTTCGATCGTGCCGATTCGTGGGAATTTCTTTTGATTCGACTCTATTCTAACCTACGCGAGTTCATCCTCGGTTACGTGTGCATGCTCGATTCGCAGATTACACTTGCGTTATCGAATATCCGGTTGGTTTTTTTTTTCACTTTTCGATCGAGTATAAAATCAGGTTATCGTTTATCGCGTGGTTTCATTTGATTGATTGATCGATCGATCGATCGACTATCGTTCCACGTTACGATATCCAAATGTCTCGTAATTATCAGCTATTAGAAAGCACAGATATGTAGAACGTTGATAGACATCGCAGACGCTTTATTGGCATTCGAGCTATTTAAACACTATGGAACAATGAACAAAGTTCGAGAATTTAACAACCAGGTGTGTAATTCGAATTATTGTTGTCGAAACAGAGAGAGATGTAGGAACTTTTTTTCATTACTTCGAAAAAGTGTCTCCGACATTTATCAACCATCTACGATCTCTTAGATTCGCGCGTGTCTCAGATAGCCCGACTATCTCTTCTTTATTAAACTCGGCTACTTCTTTACCCTAGTGTCTCGGCTACGTTTTTTCTTCTTTTTTTTTTGTTTTCAGTTTCTCGTACAAAGATACGTTTGTCTTTCCGATATAAAAGTGTGTTTTCTTTTCGTATAACTAATCGAGTGTCATGATCGATCGCAGTCTAAAGTAGCGCCGAATGCTTCTTTCAAGCCGCGTCGCTGTTTTGATTTGAAAAAATTGGCGTCGCTGGTTCGCGACTATTGCAGACACGCGATTCGCACCAGACACGTACAGTTGAGTATAAAAGTAACGAGATCGTCGTTCCCCTATGGCATTGCTCCGTCGATCGACTGATCGACGTCGCGTTTTAGGTACGTGCTAACGGAATCGCGTGGCCCGGAGTATAAAAACGCGGCGAAGCGTCGTTGCTTGGGCTGTTGGGTCCATCGTTTGTTGGTCAGAGAGAGAGAGAGAGCTTGGGAAAACGCGGCCGCTTCTGTTTTCCTCTGGTCGACGAGTATTCCTTTCGGGAAGTGAATTATATTGTCTGGCGCTAAGCAGGCACGTGGTTCGGCAAGTTCGACGAAGATGTCTGCAACGGCGAGCGTGACTGATGGAACCTGAGCAGTTCGGAGACGGTAACGGCGACTCGAACCACTCCCCGACCACCCTCCAGCACGTCGCTAGCGCAGCACACGAGATTCTGCAAAATATAAAGCACCCGTGCGTTCTCCATTAGCATTCTTTGTTCACAGATTCGGCGACGACCGATTTTGGGTCTAATTTTCTTTCTCATTTTTTTACCAAAAAGAATATTTTATTATCAGTGGAAATAGAGTATTACAATCGTTTATGATAGTCGTACAATCGATGTTACAGAGTACCTACGTCTCTCGAAAGTAGAACCGAATATGTGTGTAGTAGCATTGTTCTCCGGGGAATATCCGCTCGAATAGCGAAAAACGCAAAGGGACGCACGACTCTGAATCGATTTCACCTCTCGCGTAACGTGCAAGAGGCGAGCAAAAGGTGTGCGTCGTCGAATCGAGGGAAGAGGCAGTGTTAACCCTATTTTCATCGTTGCTTTTCATTGTGCGTTACGGTATAAACGAGTCGTTCGCCGTTCGCCGTTCGATCGTACAAACAAAGTGGAAACAGTGGAGAGAGAGAGAAATGAACGACCGTGTTCGATGACAACCGATCGACACGATCGTTCCAAGGAACATGAATCGTGTATAAATTATATACGAGCAGCCTTTTCTCGTTTCTTTTTTCCCTCGAGTAATCAGAGAAAGAAGCTCAAGCTCGGAGAAAGCAACAAGGTAATCTAATAAACGAAGCACCGAGTAGTTGAGGAGCATTGGAACGCGATATTCAAAGCTCGTAGTTTAGCGACGAGTTTTAGCATACGTACAATTTGAAAAAGAAAAGGCAAAACGACCAAAGAGAAAAGTAGCTTCAACGTACCATATATCTGTGTTCATACAATACAGTATAATATAATATAATAATATAATATAATATAATATAATAAATATATATATATAATATAATATAATCTAGGTATATATATATATATATACGCTCTCTTTCTCTTTCTCTCTGTTCTTTACAAAAATTATACAATTATACAAGCTAATGCAACGGAATGATCTCGTGTTCGGTCTCCTTTTACGCGCGTCTTTTCTCTACTTGCGGAAGCGGCAAACTTAATCGAATAAAGAAACGAAAACGCGCCGCCGAAGACGTCGTCGTTATCGGAACCGACGGTAAGCTAAACGTGAAATAACCAGTCTCAACGGTTGCGATTAATTCGATGTAATTACACGCGTCTCGAAACGAAAAAAGAAGAAAAAGAAGGGGAAATAATAGTAATACTGATGCGATCATCGCGCCGTTTTAACGGCTACTCTTCGTCGAAACGATCGCAGAGATCTTCGAACCCTGTTTCCAAACAGTCGACGGACGACGACGAATTAATCGTCGACAAAAATTGACGGAAGAGAAAATGGAAGAGGCGGGGGGTACGAAAATAAGAGAAGATGACGAAGGAAGTTAAGTAACGAGTTAAGCGTTAAGTCACCAGCGTGTACGAAATACATATGCATGTGTGATACGATGTGTATAACTTAGGCGGAGAGTAAAAAAAAAAGAAAGAAGACCAACTGACTAGAACCGAGAATTGAACTTACGATTAGAAGTAATACCGAAGACTAGAAACCAAACGGAAAACTTAACGCTCCAAGTTACGCGGAATATCTCTGGAGGATCGCAAAAGCTACGTTGTCGTCATTCTTTGCGATGTATAGTAATTAGGGTTGTGCGGGAACTCGAAAGTGTCTCAGAATTCGAGAATTATAAGGAATAGAACGTGGAACGAAAATGGTAAGGAAATATGTGATAGATATGATTTATTTCATATTTTTCCGTTCTGCTTTGGGGAAACCTGAAATTCTCGGGTTCTCGCACACCCCTGTGTGTGTGTGTCGGTTCGTTACGTCGACACTCGCGAATCTACGATAAATTTCAAGTACAACCATTTTCGTGTAAAAAGGAAAAGGGGTAAATCCCTATGGAAAACGTAGACCGTAATATAGCGTAGAAGCTGTTGGTGAAAATTCCTTTGTGCGTTCAAGATCGATACGTATCTTCACCCGTTTCGTATCGTTTCGTTCGACAGTAGTAGCAGCGACGTGAAAGCATCTCGGAGAAACAGAGTCACGCGTTTGGCACTAAACTACCCGCGAAACGATGAATTTCTTTCCTTTATTTTCACTCGATCAGACGCGTGTAGCCCTGGAATAACAACCGGAAGCAAAGATGCCTTGGAATTCGAAGACTCGATCGTAGGAAGCGACTCGTTCCTCCGCGAAATTCCTTAACGAGTATACAAATATAATCCTTATCGTACACGAATATGTATGTGTATATATATATATGTATGTATGTACGTATAAGTATGTAGAATAAGTTAGACGCGTGTTGGTATATTCTAAACGATATACGTATCGTACGTCCGCTACGTTTCATTTCTTTTCTTCTCTTCCTTTTCGTTAAACGCGTTTATATGAAAATATGGAGATTATCTTAGGCTACGACCGAATTGCTTGGTCGGTGAAGTGTAAGTGCTCTCGTTTGAAGTTTCTCGTCCTCGCGGAGAGACAGAGAAGGACGAAGAAATGAAAATTGATCGTTGATTCCGTAAACGTGTAAACGATGTGAAAGAATGATCGAATGTTGATAAATTCCTTTCGTCTTGTCGAATTTGCGTTTAAACCTACGTACCAAAATAGGAAATCTTCGAACTTAAAGAGAGAGATTTCTAGCACCTTGAAGAACTACCTATCACAGACCCATCAATCCTGAAAGAGCCATAGGCGATTTGTTATTGGTCGAATGTTAAAAAAATACTACCATCCGAGGTATACACACTCCTCTTTGAACTCCGCCTCCAATCGTGTCGGCGAAATAGTGTAGACACGGGTCACGTGTACCACCAGATTCGTTTGCCCATTTTTATTTTCCCGTCGAACCGAAACTCGCCACTTCGTAGCAAAATACTATTTTCTCGACAGATCCTGCCCGACGATAGATTTCTTTTCTCCAATCGCACACGCGCACACTCTTCATTCCGTATGATATGCGAGCGTGTCCAGCAGCTTTGATTACGCTCTTTGATTTTCACATTTTCCCCTTCTGCCACCGCCGGCAGAACTCGAGAACGAGATTACATTCGCCGGAAATCCCGCGAAAGGTCTTCAGCGTACCGGAACAGAAACGCTTAACTAACCTACGCGCTACGTAGCGATTCCTAGAACTAGGCGGACTAAATGTGTACGATCAAGCGGTCTCCGTGTCGAGGCAAAAGAAACGAAACCAACAACCCTGTTCGAAGCTGCCGCGAAGTGAAAACGTTTCGAGTGTCTCGATTCCGTAGCGATGTACAATACATTGAACGAAAAGCGAAAGAACGAGGACGAAAGGTAGACACCGAACGATTACATCGAGCTAGAAGAACGAGACGATTTCAACGTAAACGATTAACGCGATTAGAGGGAGCGATTCTGCGCGCGACACTCGAACCCCGTTCTTTGCCCGGCAAAGCAAACGAGGGGTAAAAACGAGGGGGTGAAAAAAAGAAATTAGAAAAATATCGTGCCGCTCTAAAAGTACTAAGTGGCGTGGGGAAGAGTGGCGTGCAGTGAATAATCGATCGAGCAACGCGACCACTCGGCGAAGGAACGTTAATCGAGCAATTAAGAATACGCGTTCTCCGAGTGGTCGCGCTCGATACGTCGCAGTTTATATCCCATCTTCGATTGTGCTTTTCTCTTGCGAGCGTCGTTCGTTCCATCGTTTTGCACTCTGGCGTTCTCGTCTTGGTCGCTCTTTTTTTCTTTCTTTTCGTTTTAGTCGGGAAGTGGGAAAAGATAGAGCAGAACGAGGGTGGACAGGAATGTGGCAAAAAGCATCCCGGATAGAACGCGATCCTGAATCGTATGGGATGAACCTGGGGCCGATTCTTCGGTATCTTTCTCTCCTTCGTCACGGAGAAGGAGAAGAGCGGAGACGAGACGCGCCAGAGCCTCCAGCCCGTACGCGTCCATGTAACCCACGTCCATGATTGCGTCCGCGTCCATTAACACCTCCTGCAACACCAACAACGATACTACTCAGTCCCAGTCTCTACCACGTCGCTGCTCGTTTTCTTTTATCCTTTTTTTATTTGCTTTCCTTCTTTCCCCAATTTCCTCAATCGAAGCGACACCTTCCTCGAGATCGACGAGATCAACGAAAGCTTCTTTTTTTAGCGTTTTCGTTCGATTTAGGGGTGCTTCATCGAGAGAAAGCGAGCATTGCCGAGACTTTTGGTGTAATAGGTTTAGGGTATAGATCGAACAACATCAACTGGATAGCAGCTACTCGTATACCTCGAAGGTACAAACGCGAACAGATTCAGGTGAGTGGACACAATCGGGATATGTCGATCGAGGAGATGTTAATTTTCGTAGGTATCGCCAAAGGACGAAGAGAGAGAGAGAGAGAGAGAGGGGAGAGACCGCGTTCTCCGATGAAGCGACGAGCGACACAAAAGCGAATACGAATAATCTAGGCGCATGCAACTAAAGCTTCTTTCCTTTTTTTCTTCTCTTTACTTTTGAAACGAGTGAGATTTTGAAAAAAGGAGGAGAATCGTATACCCTCGCGACTTGACGAAAATCGGGGACTGACTAGTAGTTGTTGGAAACGTCATGGACAAACGTACCGGCTGCTGTCGAAGCGTTAGTTACGACGTTGCCAAGAGGTGTTCGATCGACCGATCGAACACGTTACGGACACGTCCACGTCCACTCTTTCTTTCGTTTTTGCATCGTGATTCATTTTCGGCCTGGTTTCTTTCACGTTGAAGGGCCACGTACCCAGTACAGTTGTCACGGAAAAATTGCGTGAAGAAACAAATCGAGGGAAACGAAAAGAGATCGTTTTGCCCCAGATGGCGGAAGCGGAACACTCGGTTTGTAACGTGCGTTATGTAACATGCCATCGTCGTGGTACCATCAGCGAGAGAGACAAAGCACGGAGGCTCTCGACAGAACGGCTAATAAAAGAATATCGTGTGAAATTTGCTTACCTCGTCGACGCCTATCTTCCGACACGCCTCGAGGAAGTTGTCGACGTTGCGCCTGCATCTCGCCATCGTCAATTTCGGCTGCGAATATGTCAATTTAATCGCGTTACGTCGATTTAACCAAGCTATAAACCGTCGAGTGGAGGTGAAAGATGATCGAGAACGCTTACCACGGCCGGCGAAGGAACGTGGATACTGGCAACCGATCGAGGTCTCACGTGGTTCGCCAAGTGACAGAGTACAACTCCGTCTGTCAGCGCGGAGGCAAGGTCTTCCGGTAGAGCCATCTTCAGCCGTGTTTCAATGTGCTGAAAGAAAGGTCGTAGTTTAGCTACCTCTTTGTTAAACCGGATCAAAGCAGATACCAACGTTTCGAAGCTGCTCGATCAAGTCGGCTTCCTCCTTGGCACGTTCGAACTCTCTTCTCATGGTGAAGGAATACTTTTCTGGCACGTTGCTGTTCCAAGTAACCGACCGAGGAGACTTGGGACTCCCGCCGTTTCTGCTGGGACTCTTGTTGCTACCTAACGCACAGCGATCGTCGAGGTTGCGTTTAATCGTGGTAACGTCCAGACGTCGATAGTCTCTTACCTTCGACGTAACTAACCGCGGTCTTCACCAGCCTAGGAGTATGCCCGGGGCTGCTGTTGGACGACAAAATGCTCGAGGACGTTTTGATCGGCGAGTTAGGCTTCTTATACGGCTGCTCGAGGTATTTCCCGTTCTTATTGTTGTATTCGTTATTGCTACCGTTGATAATCGGCGTGTTCTGGTAGTTGATGCGTGACGGTGTTACCTTCTGCACTGGTCTCTTGGTCGCGTTCTCCTCGTTGAAGATCTGCTTACCGGTCATAGCGATCGCCTCTTTGTTGTTGGCCGAGTCCGTGTCGTTGTTCTGCGATTCGTTGCCTGGTGGTGTGACCTGTTCTCGAGGCCTGTACACGCTCGGCCCCTCGTTGGCCCTCTGTTGCCTCAACGCCTCTTTGTACTCTCTGCGAATCGAACGGTTTCAGCTCGTAGAGAGCAGAGGAGGACATTACACACATTTACGTATATCGTACCTGTACGTTTGAATGTGATTAAGCGGCCTCTTCTCCTCCCCGTTGATCAAAGAGGTAGCGATCGCCGCGGACGTTTGCAAGGGTTGCACGGATTGGGTGTTGCTCGACGCCGACGTAGTTTGACTCGGATGACCGGATTCGAGGGGTCTGGAAAAGAACAATCGGAAAGGACACCCGACGGTTAAGCTTGCTCTCGTCCACGATCATTGGCTTATTAACAGCTGGCTTACCCGGGTGGCGTAATCGACGCGTGATAGAGGCCAGAGGTCATAGGTCTTCTGACATCGGCGGCACCATTCTCCGAGGTGCTTCTCTCTAGTTTCCTCTTTTCCAATTGATCGTGCAGTATCATGGCCTGTGAAAAGATGGTCAGGTTCGGTGGAGGAAGAGAGATCGGAGAGGTGCGAGCGCATTCCAAGCGCGTCGCTCGGATGCCGCGCGAGCGTTAATCGCGAGGGACGCAGCCGGTGGGGAGTTCTTTCAATGGGTTAAGGTCATTCAACGACGGCTTGAACGACGGCCAAGCGCGGCTCTCGACAACACACAGATATGATTTTGAAGGGGCGCTCACCAGTTCTATTCACTCGCTAAATATAGAGGTTGTATCATCGCGCGCGCGCGGTCCGAGTGTAACGTGTCTGGAACGTTAGCGGAAAAGCTTGACCAAGGTGGATAACCACCGCTGCCGCTGTCGTTTCGAGACCTACCTTGCCGAGCTCGTCCGCGAGAGACGTGTGCTCGCCTGGCGAGATGGTACTAGGTGTCGAGGTCCCGCTACAGGACGATCCGTTTACGCTGGTCTCGTGCGGCAGCGTGATCGAAAGGGGCGAACACTCTTGACGCCACAGCCCTCGGATCTCGCCATCGTGCACCTGCGCGCAAAACAGGTGTCCACCAGGAGGTACTAAGGAGAAATCGTTGAACCGTGTGTGTGTGTGTGCGCGTGTGTGTGCGCGCGCTGGCGTGTTTTGCGTGCATGCGTTTCCAAACTTTTATTTCCCTTCTTTCTCTACATGTATTATATTTTCTCGAGTTCGGTCAAGAGTATATGTATACAGGTACAGTCTACCGTAGTATCTCGTAGACGGCGAAAAGCTTTTCGTAGAGCCAGAAGAAGAAGTAGTAGAAGCGAAGAGATAGGAGGAGGGCGAGTAGAAGGACGGGGAAACTAACCGCGCTGTGAATCTCTTGCGACCAGCGTTTGTCGACGCCGTCGCTGGTGCTGTATCCGCTGTCGACGTTGTGTCGCCTGTGAGCCCTCGTGTCTAAGGTCGCGTGACCTCTCACGTCCATCGGCGTTCTCCTCGCGCGGCCTCCTCTCGCTCTCTCGTGTTTCGCCGCCTGTCTCTCCAAATATTTGAAGATGTGCGTTCGCCCGCGAATGCATAGCTGTGGAAAACAATCGAGATCCTCGTGACAAATAGATACAGAGATGGAGGAAGATGGTATGCTCACCGAGGCAGGCGGCGAGGTCAAAGGATTATCGGACAGCCGAAAGTCGACCAAGCTTTTCATCGTCCTCATCTCGTTCGGAAGTACGGATATTCGGTTGCCGCTGATATCCAGCTTCACGAGCCTCAGGTACGTCAGTTCTGCGCGGAGGAAGGAAGAATGGTTCCCGCGTGAAAAGGGAAGAACTTTGGGAGAAGCTATATAGGCTATACCCACCTATAGGCAAATGCACGAGCATGTTGCTCCTCAAGTCTAGAGACCTGAGTCGGGAAAGGTCGCCCATCCTCGGTGGCAGGCTCGTGATTTCGTTGCAGCCCGCGTCGAGCTCGGCCAACGCGGACATTCTGCCCAATTCGTCCGGCAAACACGCCAATCTGTTGTGAGCGACCAGTAACGTTTGCAGCGGTAGCCTGCATATCTCCCGAGGTAGAGACGTCAATTGGTTGCGACTGCGAACAAAACCGTCCCCAATCTCGTTAATTCTCCAAGGGAACCCGCATCACACCCGAGCTTTACTAACCTAAGATCGAGGTAGTTGAGGGACTGGAGCATCACCACCGTTTCCGGTATTATTCTTATAGCATTGTGGTAGAGATGTAACTTCTCGAGAAACGGAAATTCCGTGACCTCTTCCGGTAGTTCGGCGAAACGGTTTTTCGAGAGATCTGCAACAGGAACGAAACGGGGATACAGGGATGAGTATTTCTCGAGGAAGCAGCAGAGCTGATCGACGCGGGATTCCCGTAGCAACAGCTGTGCACCGGTTAGGGTGGCGTTCGACGAGTTCGCTGGGGGTTCTTATGAATGGGGTGCGACGGTCACGTGCGTGTGCAGTCTCGAAACGTAGGAAAAGGATAAGGGTGGCTCAGCTGCTGCTGGCTTCGAGCCTCCTTTCTGATCAATAACCACCGCCTAGCCTGTGTATTTTCGGTTCCTCTTCGGGAGTTGGTTAGCGCCCAACGCTTGTCGCTTTCCTTCGTGCCAGCTTTTCGAACTTACCACCGCCTATCGATCGAACGTGCCAGACTCCCGGTCTCGGATCGTCTCGATTTCGCCAAAAGTTACGGAGTACGGTGGACGTTAATTCGCAGGAAATCTCCCTCCGCTTTCTCGGATATTGGCTTCCGACCATTCGGTTTACACGATAGGGACGGAAATTGGCAATCGATCGTCAACAGGATAGCCGAGTTTTCTCGAGAGCTCAGCCTGGTTATCCTTCCATCTGGTTAATTTGCAAGTCTCGCTTACGCATGTATATTTATATATGTATATGGGAACAGTTGCGCCTCGTCCACCTCGCCCACGCTCTAAACAGGAACGAGTCTATGGGGTGAAAAGCAAAGCGTGGAACCGTTGGTATACGGTCGATCGCATAATCGCGAAGTAAGGGCGTCGGCCGGTTCACGTTGCCGGGATGGAGACGAAAATAGCAACCCCTGTTCCTCTCCCTATCCGCCGTCGTTCCGGCTCTCGTGCAAATTCAAATCAGACGATTTTTCTTAGAGGAGAAGGGACTAAATCATCGACACCTGACGCTCGATAACGATCGCCCGTCCACCGCTTTGCGTCGATTCTTATCGACGATTTCTGGCGAAACGAGGGGTGAACACGGGTATGATACACCGTAGTTGACGAAGTCGACGCGTATACAGGGTGTTTTCGAGGAAGGGGTCGACGTACCAGACAATTCCAAGGACCAAGGTCGAGGTCCAGCGAACGAAGCAAGGGAGATCGATACTGTACACACACGATGCGTAGATTCGCGTGACGCTTGTACGATGTTGGCAGTGTCATTGGCGGCGAGTGCATGGGCGTGGTCCCGTTGTGTCCCTTGTTTCACCGATAAAAACAATTACGGCGGATGAACGCGGTTTAACCAGGCTGCTATTTTTATCGCGCGCCGCGATTGCTTATGCATACGCAAAAGACAATAACGCCGGAAAGACGGTCCGCGCAATCATAAGAGGTTAGGCGTACACGAACGTACATGCCGACGTGCCAACGTAAAACAAACTCTCTTTTCTTCTTTTTTCTCTTTCAAACTTCTCAAACTTCCATTCTCTCTCTCTCCTGTCGTCGTTTCGGCTTTTGCGTGCATCGGCGGGAACTGGGGAAGAATAGCGGTGTTTGGGCGTGTCTCGTCACGAAACGCCGGCTACTATCGCCGATAGGATACGCGGGGTCAACGACCACGGGGGGAAAATTGAACAGTTAGGAAATAAGAGAGAGAGCGCTTTTGCATTTGGCGCGCGGTTCGAAGGTGGACGTATTCGTCTGCCGGATAATCGACGACGGTACGGCACGGAACGCAGGAGAAAATACTGTAACGACGTCAAGTTTATCCTTGGCGGGATATATGGGGCTATAAGAGGTCGCATAAGGGCTGCCGTGGAAACAGAGGGTCGGCCGATCGATAACGCCCCCATGGCAGATATCGTCCAGGGGGTTGACTGGGTTGGGAGCGCAAGGTGTCCCATGAACGGCGATCGCGCACCCTCTCGTCGAGCCTTTCTCCTGGAAAATAAAATCATTCGGGACGTGGCGAGTGCCACGCGAACTAACGATCGGTAACCAATTTAATTCCACTCCAGATACGTTATTAAGCTCTACGCGCGGTTAACGATCAATTCTGGAAGCGCGAACGATTCGTCGCTTCCTAAGCAAACAAGTTATCCTTTGAAACGGACGGTGGCGATGCGTTCGGTCGATCGTTGGAAAGGAGGTATAATTGACTTTCACCTGAGAGTTTGGTCGCGACAGCGAGAAGGGACAGTTTTAGTCCCTACGTCCTTGAACTCGTGGTTGCTATTGCCGTGTGATTGGCGATGCGATCGCGTGAAAGACGAAGAAGAGGGAGGAAACACGGAGCAAGAAAGACCGTACACGCTTTTGTGAGAGACCGCCACCACTTCCGGCGACGGGGACGCGAGTGCGAACGCGACTCGCATAAAAGATCGAGCTGGAGACGAATCGACGCGACGGGACGCGACGCGGAGAATTAGCTTGCACGTCGTGAAACCTTCTGATCGAACGATCAGAAGAGTGAAAAGTGGTTTGTCATCGAAACGAGCGCTATTTTCTACGGTAAGCTGATTTTTCCGATAGCCGAGACGGCGTACCGGTAGAATTTTGATGATCGTCGATCGATGCAAATGTCGGACGTCGCGCCGTGGCGACCGGTCGAAACGGGGAGAACGAGTCGTCAGGCATCTGGTAGCCGGTGATTCGACGTTGCATGAATTAAACTCGGACATGGGGAAACGTCGAGAGAGAGAGAGAGAGAAAAGGTGAAATAAAGAAGGTAGTATCGCGCAGCCGGTTTCCATACTCCTGCCGTCCGAGCGTGGCGGCCAATGCGTGGCCAACAGTGCTGCGCATTGTGCGTGCTACGCGTTCGAGCGTGCTGGTACGCGTACACGCCTTCCACTAGCGCAGCCGTGTGCCGACTGCAATCACGAACAAAGCACGTGCTCTTTTCCTTCCTCTTACGATTTCACTTGGCCACCGGACACATTTTCACAAATTTGAAGAAGAAGAGCAGAGGAGGAAGGACGGCGTGGACTTTAGGTTGCACGCGATGCGTGAAATTCGAGGCGGAAGCATGAACAATCGATTCGACGCTGTTCGCTTTGACGAAGGCGTAAAAAACTTCTTTGCCCGGTCGAAAGGAGAGTTTGCCTCCCTTCCTGACGGAGCAGCAGCAGCCAACGCGCCGCTTCAATTATTGCAGCAGCAGCGTCGCTCGCTCCCCCGTGGCCTACGAGAAAGGCTCTGCTTCTCGAGAAGGGTTCCTCCTCCCGTTTACCAAGCCTACACATCCACATCTCGTTTCCAGCGCAACGAGAACCGTGTTTCCCCAGACTCCACCATCCTTGACCCAAAAACTAGCGTACGTACCAGCGTCCCTACCCGAGGTGGAAAAAAGAGAGCGAACCTCGTCGTGGAAAGGTGGGCGCGCACAGGGTGTAACGAGACCGTCTCTCGCAACGAGAGCACTCTCGATAACGTGTCTGAAAGATCGCGTTACAGCCGCGCGACCGACGTTCCGCTCGAACGGAGTATTTTTTCCCATCGGACTCGTTGTGCCTATCGGATGGCGGTTTGTCGTTTCTCTGTCGCGAGAGAACGCGATACCGTCCGAGGCTGGTTGCTCCATTCGAGTCGCGAGAACCAGTTAGAAAGGAAGTACTTACGCGTACCGAAATTCCCTCGAATAGAACCTACGGGGGCGTTTTCGCGACGACTCGAAAGGGCCAGGTTTCGATCGTGAATCCCTTTGTCCGTAGCCACGCTGCGTAACCACGAAACAAAGCCACGGACGACGTCGTCATTCCCCTAGAGACTAGACCGAAGGACATACTCCTCCTTTGTTCGGTGTCATCTTCGATCGGACCAACAGAGACTTTTCCTTTTCACCAACCTTCTACCTGCCGTTAATCTCTCCGTAACGTCCGGGCAGAGTTGTGCAAGGCTGATCGATGGACGCGTAGTTATAGACTGACGTAATAAGATACGGATAAAATGAGATAACAGGAGATAAAGGACAAGGGGTTGGAAACGTCGTTACATGGTCGCGGGACTGCTCGTTAACGGCGTAGTCGGCTAATTTAGCCATGGCTAACGAGATCGGGGAGAAACGCGAGACTCGTAGATTTGTTTCCACACGAGTTATTCGACCGGGTCTCGGCCGCGCGGATACAGATTCGGTTAGCCTTAATCGCGTGACGGCCTACTAATTATCCGTGCTCGCGATTCTCCCTGGTCTCAGAGTTGTAGGATTTTGATACGCGAACGCCTCTTAATCTCGCTAAATCCCCGGTGAGAATACTTGACGCTCACGGTAACCGCGCATCTAGGTTTCGCGTGGTGTATAATCAACCGAATTTACCCACTCACCTAATAGCTTTTGTTCAGTTTCGTTTACCGTCGAATACCTCTTAACGACTGCTACCTCGTCAGGTATGACTTCCCAGTTAATGGGAAATCGGCGAGTCTGGAACGAAGACGTTTGTGGTCTCGAAGCGATAGAAAAAGTGGCTTTGATCTTTCGGTGCTAGCGAGTGCGTGGTTTAGGGTAGCTGCTGCTCGACAGTCGGAATTTTGCCTCTGGTTACTTCTGTTCCGTGGAAATGCGGGAAAACCGATGCATTAGCGAAATCAAAGAGATTAAAGCGGCGGGTAAGCGGCAGACAAGCTCTCGCGGTTGCCGCTGCGTCGGTGTAAGAGTGAAAAAGAGGCGAAACGGAGAAAGGAAAGATTGGAAAAACGAGGAGAAATGGATTAGGGTTGCGTCGGGGGATTCAAGGCTGCGCGACAGGTATAAAAGCAGCCGATCGTTCAGAGCCGGTTCAAAGGTTCGCGGATGAAAAGGAGGAGGGGGGAGAGGGAGGAGACAGTGTCCCTTGTCGCATCCGTGATACGCGCGAACAAAGCCGCGGCGTGCGAATTTTAGTCTGGTTCGTAGAGCGAAGGAGAACCGCGGAACAAAGCGCGGAAAATAAAAAATTCCACTCGTCTACGGGGGATATGGAGTGTCGCGGAACAAGATCCGCGTAAACGCTGTCGCGTCGAGGCCTTCGAGGAGAAGAACGACGATTCCGCGGCTGTAAAATTCGCGGGGTTTCAGAACCGAGCAACGCGGGACAAAGAACCAACGACACACTCGGAATGTAGGACAGTCGCGAATAGAAGTGGCGCGGAAGAAAAGTTTGAAACGAACGAACCGTGTCATTTTCATTAAATCGCGCGCGACTCTCGCCACGAGCTTAACGGAAGCGGGAGAGAAGTTGAATCATCGCGTTGCAATCGATAGCTGACGAATCGATCGAACGCTAAGATCATCTTGTATGGAATCGTGGGGGGACGGCTTATCGTGCGACGACCCAAGAATAACTTTATTACGTTCATTAGCCATCTATAACACTGGCCGGAACGATACGACAGAACCATAACAGTATTTCTTACCGTTTCATTTCGACTCAAGCCACGTAAGAAGCGTGCGCGAACTGACAAACGGGATTGCCTAGAACGATAATTAGCAACCGTCCCTTTCCTCTCTACCTGTTTCGACTATCGATACTGCCTTTCAATCGCGAAATTTTGCGTAACAACGCCTTCTCCGCAATGCGGCTAGAATTTATCGACGGACAAAATGCGAGTGGAGACAACCGCGCCAAGTTAAGCTCGTTGGTCGATCGACCACGCGACTATCTTTCTTCTCCATCGAAACTCCCTTTCGTCGGACGAAACGATACTCCGGAGGATTCAGCGAAAGAAACGAGGTCGCCTATTTTAAAGAACGAACCGAAAAACGATCGATCCTTTTTCTCTTTGTTTAAAAGTCATCGACGCGGGGACACAGAGGGCAAACACGGTACGGCAAACATCTTTCGCTCGAGTTACCCCTGTGTGGTTCGGCTGTTTTCTAATATCGCTGCACCCTTGTGCGGTGGAAGTTTGCAGAGCACTTGCCTCTGAAACGAATGTTTCAGGTGCTGGTTGCGCAGCTTTTTCGCGCGAATCAGCGAACTTGGTCGCCGAGCTGACCCAATTCGCCAACTCGTGGAACGCAGGAGGCAACCCGATCGCTCGCCGGTAAAGGTCGCGACCGCGAAATCGAATTTCAACGGGCGGTATCGTGTTGTAAAGTTACGGTAGAATAAAATTCGAACACCACCACGGTTAGCCGGCGGTCGATGAAAAACGGTGTACACGATCGAATCGCGCGTTCCACATTTAACGCGTATCAATGGAGGTAAAACACGAACAAAGTTACGACGACCTGGCTGTATATTTGCTGCACCGGTACAGAGGGAGGTTATCCAGGCAAAGGAAGTCGTTTAAAAAGTATGGAATGGGTTCGCCAGTCTGCTAGGACGGCCCTGTGATACTGCTAATTATAACTCGGCAACGAAACCATCGCGTTGGCTTGCACACGCGATACGCGCCACTCGTGGCGCATAAGCCGGTGCATATTAGCGAGATGCCGCTGAAAACGGCAAATTTTCAAAGAAACTGCCTCGTTGCTGCCGTTTCACGGCCCTTTCTTCCGTTCACCGACCGCGAGTCCGCCAACGCTAATTACCAGCCTGGAACCTGTAATTAACGTCGCCGATCGATTTTCCCCCGAGGACGAAAAATCGTATTTGTGTTGGCGCTTAGGCGATATACAAACAGGGCGCAGCTCGGGGACACGCGGCGCTCGAAACGCTTCTCGTACATACATATATAAAGATTCCCGCGTAGCCACGACGAATGTCCGGTGATTTGAAAAGAGAAACGGTGGGTGCGATCGTTCACCGGTACTTGGACTTGGGTCGGGGGATGGGGCGAAATGGGAGCTTTCCACCCTTAGATGGCTGCCGAGCGCTCGAGAGGAGTGCTCCTTTGGCAGAGAGACAAGAGCGCGAGATAAGCGAGCAAGTAGGAGCAGCACACCGTCGCTATGGCGGATACGAACGATGTAACGCGTTATGGAGTATCGACCTGTTGGCACCCCTGCCTCTGCAGCTGCGGTGTCTCTATCTTTAGCTCGGACCGGCCCATCGCATGGGACTCTCCCATAACCATGGTGGCTGCTCTCTCTCTTTCTCTTTCTCTTCCTTTTACGAGTAGACCAGCGCGCACCCTTTCGCCGTGAACAAGAGACGCTGATGTCTTCTTCTTTCCTCGCGAACCTACGCCGACTACGCTTGGACGTGTCCCCAGGACTGAATTAGCCTCGAGCGGTTCGTGAAGAAAACGCTTTCGATTCGCTCACGACCGGTTCTTGCCGGGAGACACCTGTCGCGAACTCGGCTCCGATCGAGAGAGCAAACGAGCAGAGTTAACCGTGGTGTCCATCGCGAAACGAACACGGTCCAGAGCTCGTTATCCAAATCGTTGAGGCGAGTATCCCCAAGGGAGTAGGTACCTACTACATACGTACCGAGAAAGTGCACGCAAAGTATTATAGTTGACTTGGGGAGTATACGGCTGAGTTGGCGCATTGGAATGTCCAAGAGAGGCGAGAGGGGTTAGCCTTTTTCTCTTTCTCATCTTTCCCGAAGAAAGGGCGCGCAGTATACCGTGACGTAATCGATAAGAAGCTTTCCCCGTACCAGCCACGCTGTTTACCGTCGCTAACACGGCTTTTCCCTTTTCCATCAGTCCCGTCGGAACACACGCTGCGTTCTTCGTAATTACGCGCAGTAATCGTTCACTCATCCAGCCTGTGTTTCCTTTCTGCTCGTCGTCGTCGTCGAACGGACCATGTCGCGTTCGCTTTTACTGGTTCGCGTATGCGTCCACGGACAATGGCCCGACTTTTTCTTCGATAGTGCTGGCATATCAAACCCACGAGTTTCTCCGGTGAATGGAGACAACGACAAGGCCTACTGTTATTCCACGTAGCTCTAGGAACCGCGGGTTAGAAAGCGTTGGCGTTGCATATACAAAGTACACAGGCCGCGTAAATTTCTTTGTGGATTGCTCGTCGTTGGTTTCGCTCGTCACAGAGGATCCCTCGTCGCAGCAGCGGCTGACCTGGGGTTCCTTAATGAAGTTACGTCCCCTTCTGCGAGCTTGTCGTCGTACCCTGTCGTAAGAAACTCGGTTCGATACTAGCTCGACGAAATTGTGAAAGTTTCTCACCGACGTCGAATCACCGACCGAAATTACCTCGTTCCCTTCGTCCTAGTACTTCATCGTACATAAGGTCGGAGTGTTGGCTGGCCCAAAGCCGTGCAACGACCAATAGAGTACTGATTTAGTACTGATAGTACTGATAGAGTCACTTCTTACCGTCGACCAACGTACCACTGAGTTCCCGTGCTTTTTCAAAGGGAACTTTGTCGATTAAAAAACGAGCGATTGATAACTTTGTTTTCTCGTTGGAGAAAAATCCGTAGGTTGTGACGATGGGAAAAAGAAAATTTATAGGAGATCGTACGCGTGAAACTACGCGATCAATTACGATCGATCGTTGCGATGCTCCGTTGTAATCTGAATCGTCGAGTCGATTCGCGATCGTGAAGCCGTAATTGGAAATGTTGGCGAATGTAAGCGTTCGATAAACTATGTCGCGCGATCGATGGGAGCTGTAGATAAGACACGGCAGCGAAAAGTGTAATCGCCGTCGATAATGCCTATATCTCTCCGTGTTGCTTCGATAGAATCGGGAACGATAAGAATCTGCACGGAATCGTGAATGAAATCTCAAGTTTCGATTAATTTTCCGACTACGTACATAAGTACTTATGTACCTGCAACTGTCCCGTGAAAATGTTGTCTGAGTGAAACAGACACATCCTCGACGGTGACGAGCGGTAATCGTCTTATCTGTAGGTTTGCGTCATACGCGTCGTATGCAGAATTAAATTGGGGTCGAAGGATCGATTAATTTCTATATTTGCAACTGCTTCTTGACTGAGTGAGCGACGCGAGAAACTTGGGCACATCGATTCAAGAGAGTATCGACAGTCTGAAAAGTTGGGACACTCTTACGCTTCTGCGCACGTAATTCCTCGTGGTGTGCCGGTGATATCAACGGCTGTGGAATACACGATTATCGCGGTAACAGGAAACACCGGGTGTGTCGAGATAACGTCGTTCCCGCGGACCCTCCACTTGCGCAAACCTCTCGTACGCTGCTGCATTCTTTAGGGCCGATTGCATTTTCGAAAAGGGAGGCTGACGTGTCGTTATTTAAGAACGACCGTGACCAAAACCATGACAGTATTATTAGTCAGACCTTCTGCGTGACTCTCCTTCGTGTAGACCGGGAAAATGTCAGTTTTCTACGCAGGTATTTCGTTTCTTCTTACTTCTGCTTTTGATAGCTCCTACGTTTACCGGTCGGTGACTAATAACGTGTGTACATGCACGTATAGGAGGCATAAAACGCCTATGAAAACGTGGCCACGGTGCGTTGCACCGTAAACGTAGATGCGCTTCCATTATGTAATACGTACTTAAGTGTTCCCTCGTTAGTTGTATATTGGTAAATTCAGCTTTGCTAGATTCCTTTTTCTTTCTTTGCATAAGACGCCCGCCACTAGTCTGTCAAGGTTTTTTTGTTTTATGTGTCTTAACGAACGGAGAAGGGAAAAGCGTTCGATTGTTTTCGAATCTCTTTCTGGAAGGACTAACGGGACGAAGATGGAGAAAAAGCGATGCGTCGAGGATGCAGCTGAATGGAAGGTACGTACAGCTGTAATTGGAACAGCAGGCTGTATAAATACGTTTTCGTTGGGCGCCACATACGCGCGTGAATATGACATAAACACGAATGTTCGAGGTTAACCCTTGGTGAATTTAAAGCTAGTCTCGCGTTAGGATGGAACGAGAATGGAACGCCTGTCTGATGTTTCTTTTGTGTATTTTGAACCGGAGTAAGATTGGGGAAAAAAGGAATTTTCTCTAGACAGATATCTCCGCGCAGCGCAACGTACGAATATATGTATACCCCGTTCGAAGATATTCCTTTCTTACTTGGTTTTCTTTGTTTCGTTGAAAAGAGGGGAAAAAGTAAACGGTAGGTGTGGAAAGACTCACCGGCGAAAACTGTATCCTGAAGATTGTACTTGCTAGAGCCTGTTTTCCCGACTTTTGGAAAATCCTTCAACTTTCGACCGCTGAGCTTAAGCTCGCCGCTCAAGTGCGCTTCCTCCAGGATTCGCTCGAGACTTCTGGTGAGCTGCTTCTGTATGTGGCCACTCATGTTCGACGCGACCATCGCCATATTACATTTTTCAGGCACGTACACGCGGAACCACGACGGCGAATAGTCTCCCTGGCGTACCAGCCACTCGTCTTTTAGACGAGGCAGGATGTTACGAAAAAACTCTGCATCTACCAACTACTCCCGATACTTGCTCCTGCGCTACTGATCGGAGCTTCGGTAAAGCGCGCATGGATGCATACGACCTCAGCGCCCCCGTTTAATCGCCATCTTAAAGACAACATTTAAGCTGCACATCGTTCGATTTCATTCGAGAATCGCAATTGCAATCGATTTTTCGAAACTTCGATAAAGTTCTTCGCTTTCCGAACTGTTTCCTAATTCTTTCGCTAGTTTCAATGCTTCAAACTCGCGAAATATTATTTAACGTTGCGACCAATAGTAAACGGTGTGCGAAGTGACGAAGAAATGATCAAAAAGTTCGAAATGGAGGATTTGTTTGATTATTCTTCGGGAAAGAAAATTTCGTATATTGTAATAATGTGTACAACGTGTATGGTAATAATACTTATATTTACAATATCTTACATCTATGCATTTTATTGTACGTCAACGTACATTTTATAAATACAAAAAAGTTGAAATGATCTCTAACATGAATGTAGTTGAATATCCACGAATTCGCTAATTTTTCTTTTTCTGTGCCTCTGGTACTAGATTATGTGCTACTTGATATTCTCGTACCAGACCTTCTTCCACGTCTGGTAGACACGGTGTATATCTTACGTACTCCATAGTAAATTCTCCTTTTCCTTGAGTGGTAGATCGTAATTCACCGATATAACCAAACATATCGTTTAACGGAACTTCTGCTTTTAACATAACCCATCCTTCGGTAGCATCTGTATCGATTACTATACCATACCGCTTAGTCAGTTGAGCCATGACTAATCCCTTTATCGAAGACAAATTTCAAATTAGTATAAAATGCAATTCATCTTGCTACCGTATAACAACGATATATTCTTACCTGATATTCTGTGGGAACGGTTACTTCTACCAACATTATCGGTTGTAAAATTTGCCACGACCCCATTGAAAACAAATCTTTCATTGCACCCTGAGCAGCGAGAAAGAATGCATACTCGGAAGAATCCACGCAATGGTGCATACCATCCAATAATCTGAATTTAACACCCGCTACCTTATGCCCCGAATACAGTCCCTTCTCGCATATTGTTCTAAAACCTCTTTCCACACCAGGAACAAATTGTTTCGGTACGTTCGTTCCTACCGTTTCGTCCGAAAATATCACTTGGGTATTCTTTTCGGGTGGTAATGGCTAAAGTAATACGATCGTAATACAAATTATTATACGATACGTAGAAAAACCAACGATTTCCATAAAATCAAATTAATACCTCTAGTACTCCAGTTACTCGGGCATATTGACCAGCTCCTCCTGATTGCTTTTTATGAAGGTAATCGAATTCCATAGACTCTCGTAATGTTTCGCGGAAAGAAACTTTTGGTTTACCAAGGATAATGGGGCAGTTAAATTCGCGTTCGAGTCTTTGAGAATAGATTTCTAGATGTAACTCTCCCATTCCACAAAGTAGAGTTTCCTAAAACATATTACTAGTTGTAGTTTCTTTTGATTCTCTTGCATCGGTGCATTATAAATATCCTGTTTAATTTGTCTAACTCACCTTGCAGTCCTCGTCGTAGTAATGTTTCAAAGTAGGATCCTCCTTGGTAAATCGTGCGATACCTTTCGAAAAATTATCTCGATCTTTTGTATGTTTTACTTGAACGGACATAGATACAACAGGCTCGGGTACGTAAATAGATTCCATTGACAACTTCAAATTAGTATCGCTAACAAATGTATCACCTGATGCGCAATCTATGCCAAATAAAGCAAAAATATCGCCTGCATAAATTTCAGGCACCTCTTCCATCTGATTCGCATGAAGTCTTACTAACTTTTGAATTCGGACCTAAATCATATCGTATTTATGCAAAAACTTCGTAGCTTGAAAGCTGTTTATACTGACAGAAAATAAACGAACCTTTTTCCTTGTTCTTGTATTAAGTAAGGAATCTCCTTTCCTTATCATTCCTTGATAACAACGGAAATAAGTTAATTGACCAAATCTACCAGCTTCCAATTTAAATGCTAATCCAATAAAAGGATATTTGCTACTCCTTTCAGGATTTAATAGGATTTTAGTCATTTTCTCCCTATAAATGACAAATAATTCTTTCATATTCGAAGAAACAAATGTTTAACAGGAATATATCAAATGTGGAGAAATTTACTTATTCTCTTCAAATGCATAGTTTGTCACTTCTCCAGGATTTGGCAAATAATCCACAATTGCATCCAACAGTGGTTGAACACCTCTATTTTTTAAAGCAGTCCCAACAAGTACCGGTGTAAATATTCTTTTCATACAACATCTTCTCACAGCTTCTGCTATATCCTTTTCAACTACTTGTATTTCATTCAAATACATTTCTCCAAGTTTCTCATCCACATTGCTCAACTGTTCAATTAACTCTTGTCTCTTATCTTTTGCCTCTATGTGTAAAAAATATAGTATTATTTGTAAATTATAGTTACATAGTTAAATATTTGCATTGATGAAATTATATACCTGCTCTCATATCTGATGGAATTTCATCTTCTTTTATAACTTCACCATAGTCTCCTTCAAAGTATAAAGCTTTCTGATAAATTAAATCTACTAATCCTTTATTGTTACCTTCTAATCCAATAGGCAATTGCAAAAATGCAGCATTATGGCGTAACTTTCCTTTTAATTGGTCTAAAGTTCTTTTATGATTAGCACCTAATCTGTCCAATTTATTAATAAATGCTAGACAAGGTACATTGTACCTTTTCATTTGTCGATCTACAGTTATTGTTTGTGATTGTACACCACCTACTGCACATAATACAAGTACAGCTCCATCCAAAACACGTAAAGCACGTTCTACTTCTACAGTAAAGTCAACATGACCTGGAGTATCAATGATATTAATATTATGATCTTTCCAAACGGTATATGTTGCAGCAGATTGAATTGTAATGCCTCTTTGTCTTTCTAATTCCATACTATCCATTGTTGCTCCAACATTATCTTTACCTTTTACCTGTTAGGAGTATTTTGTATAATCAAATGGAAGAATAAAGTTTATATTCAGACATTTCAGATAGCAATATTTCAATGTCATTTTCTTACCTCGTGCATTTTATCTATTCTTCCTGTGTAGTATAATATACGTTCAGTTAAGGTGGTTTTTCCGGAATCAATGTGAGCAGAGATACCAATATTTCGAATCTTTTCCAAAGGCTTGTGTTCTGCATATTTCGTGTATGATGACAAAAATTGTAAATTCTTCTGTTCGACGAACAATGAAAAACGTTTATTATATAAATGACTTTTCGTAAATGTCTAATAATTAAATTTTCTAAAAGGTTAGAATTCTTACTTTCAAAATGTATGAACGTTGTAATAATAATGGGTTCAAATTGACATTATGTCTTAAAATCGTTATCATGGACATAACGATTAATTATCTTTTAGTAAACGTTAATAAATAACAACCGATTATTACTTCAGTGCTTAAAAAAGATTGGATCTGTCGAGAATCTCCGCGCTTAATACCCGAATACGATCGAATATAGCCGAACAGCAGGTTGAACCACGTGCTTATCTATCATACATTGAAATCACAACCGCTGTAGAATATCAAAATTAAATAACAAATAATTCTAGAATTCTTAATATATATAAATAGTGCAGATTGTGAACATTAAGATTATATTTTTATTAAAATAAAACATAACAAGCTTACTTAATTCGTATATTAAAGTGTTTATATACTACAAATATTTACATTGAGCTCACGGGGCTGGAAAGTACGAATGTTGTGCCTAAATAATTATCATTTACATTCAAATGAGAAGTACATTTTTGCATTCTCTTTAATACTAATTACACTATCTGATGCATCCTTATACACACTCGCAGCACTTCATTTTTCTTTTCTGAGAAATGTATGAGGTGTCAAAATATATTTAAAATACTATTATGCATCAGAATTCTGAATCGATCTAATTGTTATTTTAATGAATTTCTAATTCCTTTCCCAATGCCCAAAGAAGTGTATATCATTCGATATTTAACGACGAAGCAAATCAATTTTAAACATGGATAAAAACAATATTTTATATCGAGAATATATATCTTCATAAAAGAATCGACACTGATTGTCTTGGAATAATTGTGCAAAATTCATTAAATTATGAACATCCAAGATAAACACGTGCAGATAATGAGAACTATATTTTACGTTTACTATATTTATCAAAATGCATTCCTAATCATTTTTTTTTCTGCTAGCTTGAA